CTTGAATTTATGTCTAGAAGTTGCTTCTGAATACTGTCATGCTTTCTTTGTATGAAAAAATAACTTCCTGATGGCTAAAACAAAGCAATTGAATTCACTTACAGCAACAACAACTGTGTACAGGCCTGTGCTTGCATTTCTTAAAGATCTTTGACAGGCTTGGAAGTGTTAACACTTTTTTGTTCTTTCTGTGATCATGCTTGCTTTGTGGAGCTGGTTTGTCTTTTGGGTCCCATATGGTCCTTCATAGCTTAATACAGTGGGCACCGTGCTTGGTGATGAAGTTTAGAACTCGAGAAAACAGAGTAGGGGCAGTGATGTGTGTATTTCTTATTGTAGCTACAAATACAGAGTAGTTATTGTGGGTCAGACTGGCAGTTCTGCTAGTCAGGTAACTTGGCAGCAACTATGACCAGGAGCAGGCACAAAGGTAGATATGACACAAATACATAACACTTCATTCAGACTGACCTCAAGTATTTTTAGCTCAAGGGGGTTCCTGAGCAGGAGACTGCTTCTCTCTGGTCAATAACCTTCAGTGGATTTGTCTTTCAAGTACTCATCCAGCTTCTTGAATCCTGTAGACCTTCCCTCCCAGGACCCTATGCCACAGATGGAATATGCACTGCAGGAAGGGCTGTGGGTTGATCTTAAACTCTGGAGCCAAAATATCTTGTTAGCTGAATAGTATCCATGACCTGAGAAGTCTGGTTATTTACATCTGTTCCAACTGCCCTCAACTAATATGCTGTTATGACAGCTCTTTTTGTGGAGATTGACTGCTTTTGCACCCCAGAAAAACTTAAGCATAGGGATAATCTGAAAATAGCATGAAGTGTTTGTGTAGAGAAACATACCCTGCATGCCAGCAACTGTAGTGCCTGCTACTAACTATAAAACAAGCTACATGAACCTAGAAGACTTGTTAGCAAAAACTTGGATGCTCTCTGAATTCCCAGTGCTTCTCTCCCTCTAGCACTCCTGTTTTTAATGTCTGCTTGAGATTTTCTGAGCATTTGCAAACAAAAGCAAGTAAAACCTCTCTGTGCTCCTTAAACTAGGACTTGGCACCATTCCTGTCTCAGGTGGAGACATTTTGAGAGGTTCAGCCATCCCCAAACACTAGGACACAGCAGAGTCAAGAATCCAGACATCTTAACTATTGCTCTGATCACTGAATAGTATATTTCTGTTCATTCTTGCCTTTGACCAAAGGAATGCCAGCATATAACCTACACATCACCATGTAGCCATATTTCTCAATTGCACTAACTGAACTAGATACTTTGGAGTAGTAGGCATATGTTAATTGCTGTCTGGGGATCTGGTCTGTTTTTTCTTTATTCTTGCTGAAGGCAAATGAAATATTTTGGTTCCCTGTTCTAAGCAGGCAAGTAGATACTGTGTTTGAACTGCTGTGTTATTTTGCACACTTGGGTTAGCATGCTAACGCATGTATTACTTACACTGTGAAGTTCCTATAAATGCACAATATTAGGCATTTATGAACAAGAGGAAACATGCTTTTTCACACCTCTGACTTGAGAGTGGAATTGTTCATGCTTCACTTCTCTGTGGCTGAAGGATGATGTCCCTATATACACTAGACATTTGCAGCAGCTGAACAGCCTACTTTGTGCAGTAAAGGACAGACAGAAGGGCAGAGATAGTGTCCTGTGTACAAAAGAGGATGAGAAGGATAAAGAACAGTTCTATTTTCCTCTTCAGTGTTGTCAGGGAAAGGCTGGTGAGGATCACTAGCAGGCTATTATTGATGGGTCATGTGAGTGTGAAATAATGGCTAAATGAGGTCTCTGACATTAGCAAGTAGAGATCTGAGTTTTAAGTAGCCTACCTAACTGCTGTAGAAGTTGCTTGGTTTTATTGAAGGACTCCATTATCAGAATGATTATTAGGCAAAACAAAATCAACGCATACCATTTAGACCCCAGGTGAAATTATTTAAAATTAAACATGTACTAGATAACGTTGCAGAGTGTCCTAATAGTTCTGTGCTCTCTGTACTGCCTTCTCTTTCGAAAAGTCTCCAGCACCTTGCCGAAGAGCAGTAGTATATTTGCCTAACTATGCCTGGAAGAAAAAATCTAGACTCCACTACCTAAATGAGAAGAGCTATGCTAAGTTGTGAGATCCCTTAACCGTGTTTTGTTATATTTTATTATGGCTCTCATTCATTATTGCACAGAGTGCCTGCTGGCACAGGATTCAGTGATGATTAGCAGGCATATGCATAAGTACTTGAATGATAATTAAAGCTGCAACAGACTTTTTCCAGCACAACAAGATGTTGTCCTATTTCTAACCCACACTGTTATGCTTATTTATTTCCTTTTGCGTGTAGAGTAGCCTGGCAATTGAGGGATTTGACTCAATCTCCTGCTGCAGCAGATAGTGCAGTTCTCAAGTTAGTAGAGCAGGGTGATAGACGCCAGCTAAACATCTAGTTCATGAAGTACAGGTTCACTAAAACATGCTGTATAAAGGGAGTGTGATTTAAGGATCTGGAAAAATTATTTCTGGAGGGATCAGCTGGGATAAGTCTAGAAAGCTTTGCTGGACTGGTGGTAGCATGGAGCAGCTTGTTTGCATGAAGAATTTGATGCCAAATAGTGTTCACCTTGCTCTGAGTCCCTCTGCATCTTTCTGTCCTTTTCCTCCTGAGTCAGTACTTCACTGGATATACTTATTAATGGGACTGACTTTTCTGTTCCACAGTACATGATAATTTAAATAACTGTTAAAGGTTTGATTGTATATTGTTAACTCTGCTAAGTTTAGAGCTAGAATCTATTCCTAGATCAAAACTTGTGAAACTGGGGAAAACTCAGATGAAAGAATGAGACCTTCCCATTAATAGCTATATCCAGTGGAGTAATGACCTAGGAGCTCTATACTTACCAGGGTTAGCAATATGCAGTTGGACCTTTAACAGTTATTTAAATTATGTACTGTGGAACAGCTGGATAACTGAATATTTTTGAAGTATTCTCCCCCTTAAAATGTGAGAGAAGTTGGATTTCCCTCTGGACTGCACAACTTTAATTTGTTTGTAGTACTAAAGGAATGTTCATTTGAACAAGGATTTTGGAATGCATTCACTGTTTATTTAGCATGGGAGCAATAATTCAGTGCAAGTCAGCCATCCTCTGCAAAGAGACAACTTTACTGCATTTACTGCACCCCAGTCAAGGAATCTTCTGTATTACCCTGGTTTCAGTAATACTGTCAGCTCCCAAAGTTGAGCATTCCATACAAGATCCAAGAGCCATCTAAAACATTGAGGGAGTAGATCTCAGGGATATGGACTGATGGACAATCATCAGTGAGCTCCAATGTTTGGCCTTGGAGCTCCTCTTCTTAGAACTGACTCTTGTGGGGAAAAAGAATTCTGCAGTGGCAAACAGCAAAAATGTAGGAAAGACAGAAATCTGATTCTGACATTACTGAACAAGACAGACATACAGAAAAAGGCAACTTTCCCAGTTACTATGTGCAGAGAAATTGTTCTGTAATTGTGAAGAGATTTGCTCTTCTGAAGCTAATAGAAGAGGCTTAATTCTTACCCATATGGAGTAGCTCAGGAGTGCCAGTAAATGGGTATGATCACATGTGTGGTAGGAAGTAAATGGAGGATGCTTTATGATTTGAAGAAATGGGATTTATAAGGACTCTATATTGTGACAATAGAAGAAAATGTGTTCATGTGACTTTTGAGATGATCTGTGGTGCTTACTTGTGACCAGGCATGAATAAGGTGGCATTTTCAGAATTATGCTAAGAGACATTTACCATGTTATTCCATATGTTCCTGTTATACATGAGTGTGCAGACAATTGCTGTAACAAACTGAACTATGTGAAGCACGGGCATGTGGAGTGTTTCTGCTGCTATGGCTTATACTATACAGTATATCTTACTAACCACAGAAGTAGTTTAGCAAGTATTACTGCTTTGTCTGATTTTAACCAACACAGCTCTTGTGTTAGGAAAGCTGTACCCATTGCAACTCTGATTTAACAATTCTATCAGCTGAAACCAGAACATTGTGTCATAGAATCATAACATAGTATGGTCATGAGCAAGTTGTGTACATCAGCCCACAGCAGAACTTTGTATCAGCTGGCCCTGCTAGCCCTTCCCTGGGCCATGTAAAAACATTCTCTACCTAGAAATAGTCACTCAGCTTTCTTTTAGCATCTCCAAGTTATGAGCAGGCCCTGGAAATAGCACTAATATTAAAAAGATTATTTTCTTCATCTCCAGTGAAACTCTGCATTGCCTTACTGAGCTTTGCCTGTCTCTTGAGTTGCTTGAAGAGACTGTATAACTATATTCTTAAAGGATAAACTATACCCAATTTCTTACTGTGATACACTGCCAAGCAGAACTCATTTCATAGACTGGTTTGGGTTGGAAGGGATGTTAAAGATCATCTAGTTCCAACTAGTTCCAAGCCCCTGCAACAGGCTCCTGCAAGCCCCTCCACTAGACCAGGTTGCCCAAAGCCTCATCCAACCTGGCCTTAAACTTGTAGGATTACATGACAAGACCTGATGGAGTTGCAGACTGAACCAGTTCTGGGAATCAGGATAGTCTCCCCTTTTTAAAAACTACTGGTGTCCTGAGTAATTGGAGCTTTCATAAATCATTCAGCTGCCTTTCTCCACCCAGATGGAATTGCATTGTTTCACATAGGACTGCAGGTCAAGATGGTCACTGTTACTTTGACAGTAGTGGCCCCAGAAGCTCTTAATAAAAAATGATATGCAATATAAACATTTGCAAAGACTCATAGTCCATCCCAGTGTCTGTGTCAGAGCGGGATCCTGGCATACTGGGGCTTCTGCTTACCTTTCCCATTTTTGGCATTTTTCTGAGGTGAAAGCTGAGACCTGTGAGCAAACGGTTGCTTTTATATACCATAGTCATAATGCTGCATCTGCAAAAAGTAACACAAGAGAGCCCATTCTAAGCTGTGGGGAGATGTCATGTTTTGTCTTTATTGTAATTATGGCATATATTGCATTTACCATGTGAGACTTATTTTTCTGGGTTTTGGGCTGCATTTGCTGATGCTATGTGCAAGTGAATTATTGTGTAACTGTGGAGTAGACTACACTTTCAGATGGTATCCACTGTTTCATGTGGTGCACCTGCCCCAATGGGGGATGTGTGTACAAGAAAGGTTCTGTAAAAAACCTTCTTTGCCTGAAAGCTATCAAGCTCAGCAGACTTGAGCAGTTTCTGGTGTAGGTCTCTTCCTCTCCTTCCCTACTCTGTATTGATTACCTCTTGCCTAAGTTTGTCCCATGGTAATCTTTCCTTTCATGAGAGCAGATGAACTTTGCTTCAATTTCAATACTTTGTTGCCTGCTTTATCCTGGAAACAGGAAAAGTCTCCATCTCATGTGGTGGTGTTAGCTTTTGCCTACTAATGCCTTCTGTTGTGTACAGATTTTAACACAGATGTGTTAGGAGGAAATAGTGATTAAAAGTTTCAGTCCCTTCCTTGTGCGTGGTTAACTGCTGCATTCCTGAAGACTAAAAAGATTGAAATCAAATGGTTCTTATTAGATGTTTATCAGTGTGTCTGAATTACTGGCTAACATTGCAAATCAGTTTGGGTCACCTGGTTCAATTTTTTTCCTTTTGGAAGTCTGCTTTAAAAATTCAAAGGTAGCAAGCTGCATTAAACTCAAGTTGCTCTCTATTTGGAACCAGGAAGGATTGCTGTTTAATGCTACAGCAGAGTGCTTTAACACTAGAACACAGCTAGTAGGTTACAAAAAACTGTATTCCTCTGTTTCAGAACTCTTCCACTGTAATTTTTTTCTTGTTTGGTGCAGGGCTGGAACAAACCTTGACTTGTTCTATTCTGATTGTAATTTTCTTGCACTGAAGTCTTAGACTTTTAAAAACAAACTGCTTCATGGAATATGCAAAGCTGGTTATACAAATGTCTTATATCACCAGTAGGTGAGGCTTCAGATCAAAAGAAACTAGTGCACTCCAAAACTAGATTTATAATCTTGTGTATTTGGGGAAACTCATTCAAGCATGTAAAGACCTTGTCAACATGATTCATCAGTTAACTTGGCATGCAGATGAACACCTTTGTAGATTTAATTTATTTAAAAGATCTCTGTTTGCAACTGCATAGTCTCTACCTCCAGTGGAACAAATGAGTGTTTGTGGCTGTAAGGAGGGAGAGCAAGGCAAAGTTTGGAGACAGTGGAGAGCAGCTTTGCTTACAAGGTTTCAGGCCAAAGAAAAGGGCTTTCAGTGCTGTAGCAAGAAAAGAAAAAGACAAGAGTGTCTTCTGGGGAAATATGAAACCTTCACATCCTTCTGTCACAAACCACTCCACTGATGTTGTTTTTAATTGTATCCTTATTAAATGACAGGGGCTAATGTGCACTGACTAATTCCAAACAGGTTAGATGATATCCTCCTGTACTCTATTGTATATTCAGCCCTATTTTTCTGAGCTTTCTCGGTTACCTCAGACCAGCTGCCTCGATCCTGTTGGATTTCCTTGTGATGTTTGCCTGACTGTTGCACTTGAGTCGATGTCTTGTTGCTATTACTGTAAGTACACTGTTCAGGGCTTGATTTTTGTCTGCTGGCTGGGTTGTTGACCTGGACTCAGTGGAACTGGCAACAGGCAGTGTGAGTGTGTAAGAAATACTTAATACAGAAAGTGAGTGAAAAGCTGTCACAGTGCTTTAATGTCACACATCTACAAGCACCTTTCAGTTCCCTGATTTTGGCTGTCTGAAAATGTGAACATGTGAACAGCGAACCACCTGATCTGCTGGGCTTGATTTTTTTTGTGCGCAGACAATCAAATGCCACCCAGCCAACAGGGGAGGGAGTAGCAAAGGAGGAAGTACTTACACTCTGAAAATTAAACACTGCTTTTATGCTTATTAGCATAGCTAGATTTCTGTTGCTTACTTCTCTTAACTCTACCAGCCTTATCTATAAAACCAGGAAATATTAGCCAATGAACAGTGAAAACCATGGCAGTACTCTAATAGCAAAGACAGCACAGGAATAACATGGCTAATCACTTATTTGTTAAAGTCTTATTGGTTTATTGCAGGTCAGTGAACACAAATCGGTCATGAGATGTTAATCTCTCTCTCTAGCTGCTTAATCTTAACTGCCTCCTTGCCATTGTTCTCCTACTCATGTGCTCAGCAGCAATATCCCCTTCTCCCCTCTTGTAATGACCTCATTTCAAAGTATAATATCTCTCTGCTTTGGTTTTCAAGAAGTCAGACTGATGCTGTTTGAGTTGGAATGAAATTTGCTCATGTCCTGGCTGCCTACTGCTCTACTGAATTTGTTTAGAAGAAGAGAAGCCTCTGTTTAGAAGCTGATGGATGCTTTGAGCTCCAGGAATGAGCTTGTGCTGAATGTGACAGGGCAGGCCTGTCCCAGTAGTGAACACAGGCCATGGAGGAGAGGCAGGAACTGCGAAATGGGATTGGATAGTGTGTTCCAGCAATCCTGCTCCCTGCAGAGTGAACTAACCAGGCCAAAACAGCTGATGCTGCAGAAATTCATGGCTAAAGAGTTTCTGTGTAAGGGAGGGTGATGTTGCTGTTGATCTTAAGTCCCCTCTAGCCTCCTCATCTGACTCCTTAGGCCTTGAGTTTTGGCTACATGGCTTGAAAGGGAAGTGGGGGGCATGCATGGTATAGCTGAGAAGCCCCATCAATATCAGCAAAAAGACTCACCAGTCAATCTGTAATTTCTGAATGTACCAAACTGTGGTTAGGTCTTTCCCCATGAACAGCTCAGAATTGAAAGGACATGTGTTTACAGCAACTATGTTTTTTCAGACTGATTTTAACAGGAAATTTGTGATAAGTTATGTTAAAAAAAGCTGTGAACCTGGTGAGTTGAAAGCAAGCTTTAAGTCCATGAGGACTTCTAAAAGGCCCTTGGAATCCCTGATTAAGTTTAACTATTCCCAGGCTTTCTTGTGTAGTGCTGTCTTATGGCATCTCCATAAATAGGCCTAGGGGCTGAGAATCAATGGGCAGAAGAAAAATGGTTTTGCTTCACAAACATTTATTGTTTTTTTCCTATAGCAGATATTTTGCATTAAAGTACAGGACCATCTCCAAGGCATGGATTAATACAGCTGCTACAACATGTGACCATACTTTGGATGGATGTCTGTCCCATGGCTGGAAGTAGCTGGGAATCTTCATTTCTATCATTTTCATATGTAAAGAGCTCTGGGTAATGGAGTCTCTATACCCTGCAGTTAAACATACTTCTCAGCAGTGAACACTTCTACTACCCCAGTGAGCCCTGAAACTTCAATGGAATTAAGTAGGAAAAGGTACTATAGAAACACCCCATGCTGTGCCCAGGCTTCCAGCCAGAGGAAGAACCACATGCACCCAACTCTTATCCCAAGGTAGATTTAGTGCAAGGTTGAGGGTTGACAGCCCATCTAGGAAATGGGCAGTGTTCTTGGGCAGCACTGCATGGATGTAAGAGGCAAACCACTAGAGACCAACAAATAGGGAATGGACCAACAAATGGCTTCAGTGCTACACTGGCACTGCAGGGACAGGCTTTTTCTTTAGCAGAGTCCTTTAAGGAAATAAGCAAGCAGGATGGTTAAAGGGAAGAGCTCAAGAAAATGAGATCATCCTGAGAGGCACAACCCTCATGTCACATGCAGAGAAGCTCATTCCTGCCCCACTCTGGATCATGTGTAGGAGTTGTACAGCACTGTGGACAAGGTGAAGTGTGTATTCCCTGTATTTGAAGTGCTGCATCCTCTCTTTGGCTCTGTAAAAATAGCATGGTGGGTTGAGAAGCAGTAGGGATGCCCTGGGAAACTGTAAGCTCCCAACACACTGGCAGGCAAGCAGGAGAGAGGTGGCTAAAGGTAGAGGAGGGAATATCAGTCTTCGATACAAGATATGAGGGGTGGGAAGGAAGGAATGACTCCTAAGATTTAAAAACAAACAAAAAAAAACCCCAAAACACAAGTTGCAAATGTATTACCAAAGCTAAGGTAGAAGATGTCAGCTCACCTACAGCTAAGTGAGGTACATGAAGTCTGGGTCTCTGTTATGTCTTTGCTTCCTTTGCATTCCTTGCCTTTGAATCTGTTCCAGGCTTCTCCGGAGATATTCCTTGTTTTGCTTCTGTAGCTCCCTGCAGGATGCAAATGTTAATAAGCACAAGCACAGCATGGAGGGCTGAATCCATCAGGAGAGATGGGGACTGCATGGCAGATCAGCTTCCCTCCTGCTGTGTGACATGTGATGCACATTGAACTCAGGGCTGTGGGGGAGCCCCTTTCCTCTACTTGGTCAAATCCAGCCCTGCTGCTGGAATGTTTTCTTGGCTCTCCAGCTCAGTGGAGCTGCAGCAAACAATAGAGTTTAGCAAATCATGGACAAATAGAATGGCAGAGCCTAGTTCATGTACATGTGAGTCTAATCTGACATTACTGGGTTCTTTATGGAGTCAGGTTTTTGCAACTTAGTCTTCAACTGTTTTTTTAACCTAAAAGTGATAGCAGTGAATGTGTTTTGCAGAGATATCAGACAGAAGAGTGCCTTCCATATGTACGTTGAATATTACTGGAGCTGACTTCCCAGCTCATGAGTGACACCTCCTGCCAAGGTATGATACAGTTGTTGTGAAATTCCAATTTAGGATTGACATTATATTATAAATTAGTGCTACTGTGAAACATCTCATGCTAGAGTGTTGAGAAAGGCAAACAAGAAAGGTTTTGTGGGCTCTGGGTGGTCTGAGGTGCTGTTCTAGCTGTGACATTCAGTGTTAGTGTTGCAAAAACAGCTTTACTGGGTTGTGAC